AAATGATTCACTTTTTTATAAAACAGAAAAAAAAAAACAATTGTAAAGAAATTATACTCCAATGAAGATGTAAAAAAAAAAAAAGAACTGGAGAAAACTGGAATGTGCTTGGGCAGGGGGTGCTGGGGGGTATATGAGAAATTGGTTGGTTATCAGAAGGTACAGGTTCCCATGGTTAAATGCTTGCCATAACCCCCAATGTCATGATAGAAATGCTGCTGAGAAGCACAGCAGCATCCTTTATCCATTTGTTACTGAACAGAATAAAATTTCACTTCCAAGTTCCACTTTTCCTTTCTGTCTTTTAGGGGACACTACTGATGTCGCACCCAGATCCCCTCAGATCCATTGTACCAGGCTCCACACACGCATCCCTAGCTTCTGGGTGCTTTTCTGCTAATGGCTTGCACCTATGACCTTCAGAGATTTGCCTTTAGCATTGGAGGCCAAGACATGCCTTAAGGTGTGCCTCGCCTGACCCTCAGTTAAATCTGAATTTCAGATAAACAATCAAGAAGTTTTTAGTATAAAAATATACTACTATTTACATAGTATATGAAAATAAGATTTCATGAAACATGCTTTTTAAAAAGTCCTGTATCTGGAACTAAAACTTACCTGGGCATCCTGTGTCATTATTTGCTAAATATGGAAACCCTGTCTAAGGGAACCTACAGACAATGACTGATTGGGACAGAAGTGCAATGGTTCAGCTGCTCAAAATGGAAAAACCTGGGGACACTTTATGTTCCAGAATCCCTTGCAGGATCAGGCTGAGTTCTCAAACTCAGACCTCACCTGAGATAGCACATTGCTTATCTTCCTCCGTTTCTTTATTCTGTCTTTCTTATTCCCTTACTCGTTCCTCCTGGAATCATTTCAATTAACAAATTCCTCACTTAGGAATCCTTGCCTGAGGGTTCGTTTCTAGGAGAGTAAGATTTAAGATAGGTATCTCGCCAATCACACAACAAGTCATCAAAGTGAAAGGAATTAGGAATCACTGCCCTGAAGAGCATTCTGTTTATTAATCATATTTCACATTTACATTCTTTTTAAAAAATCTCATCTGTCTCATGTGTCAAGTCCCTAGCAACCAGTGAAGAGCCATTCGCCATGTTCCTCTGAGAGGCTGCTGAGGCCTGACTAAGCCATTCACACATTTCCCTGCTTTGAAACTACTGAAAAGAAATAAACTCTACCCAGGCATCTACTAAAACATCATTTCTACTCTGATATGTTATGAGTTTTAAAAAAGGATGCCCAAGCCCAACTGCTTCAGGGAAAGAGCAACAAACTATGAAGAAACACGCACTGAGGAAGAGAAAGGGGAATTCATCGCTAAGCTAGGTCAGGTAATAGACCAAAGAGACCACAATCTTGCAGTTCTCTTTTGGGGAACGTGCTGTTCCATATTAAAAAGGATTTATAGGGAGGCTGCAATTCTGCTTGCAGAACCTAAGGAGAAAAGAGTCTGCCAGCTTTACCACTTGGCTTTGCAGAATTATTGCAGCTCCAAGCAAACAAAAAGAAGCTAACATCTTTACGTGATGGGACTGAAGAAAAGATGGGCCACCTCCTGCCCCAACTTTTCTAAGGAATAATTTGGGGATAAGGTAATGCATCTTGCTATGGCAGTCCATTAATGAGTCATCACTGTGATAAATACATGTTCTAGGAAAAGGACATGTTGTTCTACTGATGTCCCAAACATCCTCAGTCTCTTCCTTCATGCGGAAACACTGTTCTTGGCATGCTTCAGCCAAAGCACGCTGACTGCTATATTCTGTCTATAAACCATCTCGGGTATTTACAATTTAAAATAGAAAATCTACTTAGGGACGACCTTCCAGTTTACAACAAGAAAACCCCTGGGTCAATACACCAGTCTTTGGTGAAACAAGTCCGTATGGCTTTATAGCTTTAACTGCATGGGTCCGTTTATACACGGACTTTTCTCCCACAGTAAATACTATAGTACTACACGATACACAGTTGGGTGAAGCCTTGGATACAGAGGAACCGTGGATAGAGAGGGCTGACTGTCAAGTTATACTCGGATTTTTGACTGGGCAGTGTGTGTGTTGGGGGGTGGTCGGCCCCCTAACCCCTGTGTTATTCCAGAGTCAAATGTATTTATACCCAGCAGTAGTTAAGACTCGAGGAATAAACCTAGGCAGGTAGATTCTGAAAGAACGGGGTAAGCAATGTGATACTGGACAGCATGCCCCTTACTCTTGTTGAGTAACTGTAAGACAAATTAATTTAAAATGCAATAATTTAATGTTTGTTGGGCCAGGAGACTTTAAGTGTTTTTAACGGGGGACTCCATCTTTCCTCGTTATGTATATATATTTTCCCTTTTAAATGCCAGCCTGAAATATGAACCAAGAGGGCTCCTCCACCGAGTCCCCACGAGGCTGAACAGAAATAGCAACACTGGGCTTCCCTGGTGGCGCAGTGGTTGAGGGTCCGCCTGCCGATGCGGGGGACACGGGTTCGTGCCCCGGTCCGGGAGGATCCCACATGCCG